GTTTGTTTGTTTGCTTATTTTATATTCTAATAAACTACACGGTATGCAAAGTTTTAAAAAAATGTACAATTATCTTCAATTTAATAAGCAGTGGAACTTCAGCAATTACTCACAACCTGATTAACAAATCAGGTTCAAGGCTCCTTTAATTTTCGATCACAAAACTGACAAGTACTAATAAGTAGAAATGGAACCATAATGATTGCTTCAAATAAAGTATTATGACAGAAGACAAGAATTCTTAACACTCGAAAGAAAACGCTTGACGCCAGGACAAGAGACATTTTCAGTTTTCAAGCATAAAGATAACAAGGAACCAGTATCATCAATATTCTTTGGTGCTTTGCAAAAAGGGGTCATGTCCATAGAAATTGCATTGTTCTTGGGCCATTCCTACTGAGAACCAGTAAATTAATGATACTGGTTCCTTATAATAAGACTTTTTTTCAATATGGAATGTACCGTAAAATGTGTGTAACTGACTCACATTAAAAAAGTTATTATTCTTTCTCTCTGCAAACAGACCCTGGAACCTGGCACTGGCAGGCCTTTCCTCCAAGGTCAGGCACTTGTACGTCCCCAGGAGGAGGTCCTGGCACTTGGATATATTGCGATGGAACTTGGAGTGGAAATAGAAGTGTGTCAGACGATACAAGGATTTGTAATGCTGAGGGAACCGCAAAACACATTCTTCTAAAGCAACCAGACAGTGTTTCGCCAGCTCGTAATGATCTGCGGTAACAGTGAAACATAACCTGATAGTGACAAATACGAGACATCGATAACACAACAAGAGTGTAAAGAACATGTCATGATTTAACAATTAAATAATCACCCAGAGGTCTTAAATAACAGATATAAACAACTAGTGAATGTGGTCAGCTCCAAAGTATTCACACTCTGGCTGTGCCATGTCTCGAACCACTGCTGGAAATCATTGTCTGAGAATCCCTTTGCCCTGAATCTCTTCCAGTGATTGAGAATTAAACCATTTAAAGATGTTTGGTTCCAGAAACAAGACAGAGAGATACAGGGCAAAATGAGCTGAGCATAGTGAACATTCTAACACTGGTATTTCTTTACTGGCGAAAAGTGGCTTTATAGGAAGTGATGAGTGGCTGGATACACCGTCAAGATGTGCCTGGCAAAAGATCTGGTCATTTTACAGAAATGTGCTGCCACATATCTTTAAACATTTTAAGGTAGAATGCCTGGTTGACTGTTTCGGAGGAACATGCTCATAAGGTACAGCTAATCTGACATATCATTTTACAGAAATGTGCTGCCACATAGCTTTAAAAATTTTAAGGTAGAATGCCCGGTTGACTGTTTCAGAGGAACATGTTCATAAGGTACGGCTAATCTGACATCAAGAGATCAGATCAGAATGGTTTTTACCTGTAACTGTAACATCTCAGCCTTTTGTGGAAAAACAAAAAATCTGAATTTCTGGTGCATTTTGTTGTGGGTCTCGCTTGAAAGGTCAGTTTTATGACCAGTTCCCATTTCCCCAGAAAGGTCAGGTTTTTCCAAAAGCGTTGATGACACATGACTGATAAACTGTAGGAACAGGGAATTAGCATCCAGATGTGGAAAACTGACTGAAATGGTGAGCAATGATTGTTGACCTGAGTGCTGAGAAGAAATGAACATCAACAGAGGAACCAGAGACATTGGTTTTGACCAAGGACCTGTACTAAAATGGTGCAAGAAAATCTCTACCGTCTGAGAAGAAATGAACATCAACAGAGGAACCAGAGACATCGGTTTTGACCAAGGACCTGTGCTAAAATGGTGCAATAAAATCTCTGCAGAGAGCAAAAGTTGAAAAGAATTTACAAT